ATGCCCAAGATGCTCTCCTGTAATGAATAATGGCCATGTTATGAGTTTAATCCATGGCCAAAGGAGACTTGAAAGATAAACTTTGGTGGCCTTTCCAAAGGTGACTGAAGGTCACGGAGCCGGATTCCCAGACTGGACAGCTTAAATGTCATTTCGTCGTGTCCTCCCTGATCAGGTTGGGCTGATGTGCGGAAATCCCAGTAAGTCTCTGCTCAGATTCTGGAAGCTCGGGAGCCACAGGAAAGCAGAGGCTGCCACTCTGACACACCGCTGACACACCATAAGGAACAAGTTAGGAACCAGCTGCAGTTTAAAGACGAGGCTGTTTAATCTCCGTTTAATATCGGCAAAAGTAACGGAAATGCCAATTCAAGGTTTGTCCGTTTCTTTTGACCTCACTTACACTGCTGGGCAAATCCTGGCCACCACCCTCTTTGGGCTGAGCTGCAGTGTGCTTGGTATTTAGCTGCTCATTCTGGTTTATCGAGAGCCACATGTAAAAGGCGCTATATGGCTGTCATTGTTGCTATTTGTACAGCTGATTGTAAACTGAAGGTATATGTTAGTACTTTTGCCCCAGAGGATAATCTCACTATCTGACGGCCCCTGAAACTTGTCCATTTATGAGTCGGTGGTCACAGAGAGCACAGTCAGTCCCAGAACAAACGCAGTGGTGCTGCTTCACCATGGAGCAGGGCCTGCATGGCAGCTGAGCACTTCACTGTGGGATTGTGTTAGTCTCAACTGTCTGGAAAATCCAGCAGGCATGAACTGATCTGAGTTGTTTTTTTTCCATTAGCTCATCGAGGAAGAAGCAGGGTGGAACCAGGCAGGTTAGAAAGCTGAGGATTTTTTCATAAGTTTTGCTATGGGTGTGACACAGAGATGGGATGGAGGAATGGGGGCTTTATGGGAATAAGGGTTTGAGAAAACTGTACCGAGAAAACAATCCTGGGGTGGCTAATTTGGAGAATTTGCAGTGGACTGCCTTGATTCTGGGCTCGGGATGAGCGTCGTGAGGTAATGTAAAGTTAATGCTATAGCGGAAAATACAATTTAATCTGCATCACGCAATTGAATCCCCCCCCTCCCCCAAGGCCAGTCTGTAGCATGACATTCCTGGGATGTTGGAGTTCTGACAGGGAAAAACAGAAGTTGGTCTCCTTTGTCAGTAATTCATCCCAGGTGGTGAAAGACCTCCTCACCTGAGTTTGCTCCTGGAGGTCCAAACCTCTTCTGCCCCTGGTGGTCAAAACCTCTTCTGCCCGTGGAGATGCATGCCTCTCTTGATCCTGTCAGATTTCTTTGTTATGTTTGTTCATTGCAATGAGGATGTGATGTTACGCAGGTATTAGTGAAACATTTACATTATATAATTTATTTTGTAGATACATTGGGTCATAGAGTAGGGTTGGCCAACCTCTGGCGCTGTTGGGGTAAAGGGCCTTGTTCAAACACCTAATAATGGTATGATTGCTCTGCTGGCCATGGCATTTGAACCCACAACAAATCCATAACTCAACAATCTGCATACTCCTACACCCGATTTAGAGATTTAGAGAAACGTAGATTCTGATTTTGATATTTTTATTTATTTATTTTTTTTGTATTTTACAACTGTGTGACACTTGCTTAAGGCCACATGATGGGTGGGGGGAGGAATGGGGTATTTAATTTTGGGACAGGTGTAAGGAGGAATGGGGAGAGATAAAACAAGATGGGCTTTTCAGCATGAGCCCAGAGGGGAACTGATACAGGAAGGGTGAGAGTCAGGTCACAGAAGGGGTGCGCTGTGGAGTTGCTGGTGCACTGAGGGGGTGGGCATGTTGGTGGGCTGGCCTACGATCCTGGGGACACGCCGCAGGCCAGCAAGGTTCAGCTGGGACAACAAAGGCAGAAAATATGCACAAGTGTCACCCCCACAAAGCATAAAAAACCTAAGTAGACCCTAAATGTGAGTTTTCTTTTTAGACTGAAAATTGCCACTAGACACAAAAAAGGTAAATAATTAAACTTTTTTTCTCTTGAGGATGATTTTTGGCAAAACAGAGCCAGTTAAAATACTGCTAGAAAACTCTATTCATGTGTCAGTCATGCAATGCAATATGAAAATGGCTTTTTGAAGCCAAAATGAGTTGAAATACTTCCTCATTGAATGGGGTTGGCAATACATGCTCTTTGTAACTACTTCTTGATATGATCTATCCATCTATCTGTCTGGTTAGCCTAAAGAATGGATTGTAGAATATTTTTCCATGTTTCCAAGCCAAAGAATAATTTTATGCCATCAGCTTACATCTAATAAATCATGTGGCACAAAAAGCCATAAAATTACTTGTATTCACAGAAATAAAGATGGAATAGCGTTAGCATGCTAACAAAAGTATGCCCATGTTCTCCAAATAACAAAGATCAGAAATGCTATTAATTTCAGTGTTATTCTTACTATTTTCAAAGTTTGCTCTGTAAACTCTGGCACTGTTAGGGGTCTTTCAGTTCTATGTTCTAAGTGCTATGTAACCATTATTAGTGGCACTCTACCTAAAACCTCATCTCTCCTCTCCGGATCTGCCCCTTTTTTACAGTTTTGGGAATCCTAAAGGACCTTTTACCATTATTATAAACACTGCTGTTGCTGCAGCTGGTAACTAATAAGAAACGTTGAATAAACTGCCATCTTTCAAGATCACAACAAAGTTATTCCTTTTCTTGGTTTTGTGTCTGACTGTGAACTACAGGTACCTGTCCATTAACAATTATTGTGTTGTAATAGTTGTCAACAGAGTTTGTGGCAACATCTCAAATTGCATATAAGCACACTGACCATGACAAACACAGCAAAAGAACCCAGGCAGCACACATGGAGCACAGGCAGCACACATGGAGCATAAACAGCACACATGGAACACAGGCAGTACACATGGAGCACAGGCAGCGCACATGGAGCACAGGCAGCACACATGGAGCATAAACAGCACACATGGAACACAGGCAGTACACATGGAGCACAGGCAGCACACATGGAACACAGGCAGTACACATGGAGCACAGGCAGCGCACATGGAGCACAGGCAGCGCACATGGAGCACAGGCAGCGCACATGGAGCACAGGCAGCGCACATGGAGCACAGGCAGCACACATGGAGCACAGGCAGCACACATGGAACACTGTGCAACCATTGTATAGTACAGGGTTAAGCTGAGCATGAAGCCTGTTCCCCAAAAAAGTATGTAGTGTAAGGTAGGGGGCACCTTTGGTGGGAGGCTAGCCCTTTGCAGGAAGGACATGCTAACTTTACACATAGCCAGGGAAGTGGTTCATGGAGGTCATAGTGCTAGTACTGATGTGATGTTAGGGGAAAGTTTCCCAATCCAGTTTCCCAACTTGCTCCTCGGGGACCCATAGACAGTCCACATTTTTGCTTCCTCCCAACTCCTGTTCGGGAACTTGGAGGGAGCAAAAAATGTCTATAGGTCCCCGAGGATCAGCTTGGGAAACACTGTGTTAGAGGAAATACATCAAGAACTGTTTTTTTTTCCATTAGTTAGAAAAATGACATGGTTGAAGTGTGTGAGTGAGTTTGGACCGATACTGTATTCCATAATGTGGAAACAGTGAAACGCCACATACTGGGTGACGTCGGGGATACTCTCCAATGTTCAGTTTTTTGGTATATCGTCGTTTTATTAAAAACAACATGCAAGCTGAGAGGCAGGGCTGCTGAAGCTGGCATCTCGTGCTGTTCTCTTTATCCTCTGATGAAAGCCCAACGTGATCTTCCTGCAACCTCAGAATAACAATGACTAACAGCAGATAAGACTGTAGTTTGGCTCCTGTCAAAAACAGCATGTCAGAAATGTTTCCGCCGTAGGATTTCATTTTATACCTTCTGGGGTGGGGGTTTATCTCCGCATAGCCCAAGATAAAGGCTTTGCTAAACATTATTTGTGGAGAAGGTCATCAAAACTCTCCGTTCTTTTGTCCTGCTTGAGGACACTCAAACATGTTTGTCCATCATGGTGACAGATCTTTCATCATATCATCGTATATAAATGTGCTGTTTCCAGGAAATCCTCCCTCATCATTCTGACAAATGGTGCTCAATTTTCATCATTTCGTTTCATTTTCTTGAAAGACACCAGCAAGCCAAGTGCAGGGGAAGATGGCAAACTGTATTCCATCTACACGAGGCGAATCTTTCTTGCTATACTTTATTTTAAACATTCCACAGGCTGTATCACCCCAAGATGTTATTTTGAAATTAGTTATTTGTTTAATCAGCAAGGTGAGTTTGCACACTTCATATGAGATAAATAAACATCACTATTTAGGGGACACCATGGAATCAGCAGTAAGCTACATAAATCGTCATGGTCACTATTAGATGAGTTATGTGGTCATGATGGAGTCATGGTGAAGGATCTGTCACCTGACACATCACTGATCACCATGTACCAGTGAGCTGCTATCTGTCTGGGTCTGGGCTGCTTTATCATCTGTGCTTGGACTGCTCTCTGCTGGGGTCTGGCCTGCTATCTTCCTTGGCCTGGGCTACTCTCTGCCTGGGCCTGGGCTGCTCTCCGCAGGGGTCTGGCCTGCTCTCTGCCTGTGCGCGGGCTTCTCTTTGCCGGGACCTGGACTGCACTCTGTCTGGACCTGGGCTGCTCTCTACTTGTACCTGGGTTGCTCTTTGCTGTGGCCTGGGCTGCTTTCTGTCTGGGCCTGAGCTGCTCTCCACAGGGGTCTGAGCTGCTCTCTGCCAGGGCCTGAGCTGCTCTCCGCAGGGGTCTGAGCTGCTCTTTGCCAGGGCCTGGGCTGCTCTCTGCAGGGGTCTGGGCTGCTCTCTGCCTGTGCCTGAGCTGCTCTCTACTTGAACCTAGGCTGCTCTTTGCTGGCGTCTGGCCTGGGCTGCTTTCTGTCTGGACTGCTCTCTGCCTGGGCCTGGGTTGTGCTGGTCCCTGACTGTCCTCTGAGCCGGTGCTGTGTCTATTATCTGCAGGAGGTGTTGGATACTACGCCTGGACTGTATTCCGTCTGGTCCTGGGCCGAGCTGAGCAGTGGAGGTACAGAGGGCAGTGCTGAGTGTGATGATGAAGATGGCTGCCAAGGCTCTGGAGTGGGTGCCCCCAAGAACCGTGAGTCTCTCTGCTTCCACAGTTCACCTCTTTCCTCATCCTGCTGGTCGCTCATTCCCAGATAGCATTCCCGACTTCACATATCTCACCTTCATCATCATGCCATTCCTGTTTTTCTTCATGGTCTCACCCTCCAGTTTTTCACCCTTGATCCTTAATTTCTACCTCCTTCTTTGCCTTTATCATCCCCACCCATCCCTCGCTCCCCTCCCTCTCTGCTATGACCACTGTGCTGCCCTTGGCGGGTGTCAGTCCTGCTGTGAACTTTGCTCTCACCAGAGCAAATAATTACCCACTCTGAAAGAAATTCCATCTGAACCAAGTGCTGAGAGAGGAAGTCTTCTGAAACAGCCTGTGCTTTGATCACTCTCCCTGCGTAGACCTTGTGCTCAATTCAGACAGACAGGCTGCATTTACATGTGTGGGTGCAGAGAGAGAACCTGCTGTTTGATGTATGTGTAACAGGAAGTAGATGCAGGAGTTGTGCTTGTTCTATGTAAATTTTTATACCAGAACACCTCGATGAGCATTGGGTCACTCCCGTGATCTACTATCCAGAAGCTTTCTGTCAAGCAGAATCGTGTCCAATGATGTCAGCATTCCACAATAAGACGACAAACGGCTGCCTGCCTCAGGCACTGTTTTGGAATAATTACCCTTGTGCCATGGTTCTCGTTTGTTATAACACTTGACGTGATATCCCAGCCTCAATTTATCATGCTTCCTTCTTGACTTTAAAAATATCAGAAGATGTTTCCATGGAGAAGTAGGATAACGGCTGGACACCTGCTTCAAATGACCACTATCTTGTCAATTAGCATATTAGCAAGGCATATTTTATTAGGCATAGCTTGTTTGTTTACATTGATGAAGTACAGAGGCTGGGTTCAGCTCTGTTGTCTACTTGGCATCGTTAATGTCATAAATAATTTGCATTAACGAGAATTAAGATGATAAAAGAAGAGAACACCTGATATAAAATCAGTCTACCTGCCTTTCATGCTGAATAGCAGGTGTTTGAATATGAGTATCTTTGGAAGAGACTTGTCAAAATAGCACTCAACTTCTGTCATTGCTAAGGCTAATGTATTCCTCAGAGTATGTTTCCTTGCCTTCACTTTCTAGGTCTTTACACGCTCCTACGATATTTATATTACCATGAAATATAAATATATATTACCATATGCCTTTTGGGGTCAATTTGACCCCAGGGGAGGTGTGAGAGATAGTTGTGACAGGAAGGCTGGTTTCAACCTGGAAAAGCAGTCCATTGCCTTGTAGAGTGATAGTCTCAAGCTGAAGAGCAGTTCATTGTTCTTAAACATCCATTGCCTTTTGATCTCTGTATGTGGGATTGGCCTGGTAATCGAATGGTTATGTGTTCTAGCTGTAGTCTTGTACCAGTTGGTAAGACATTTCACCTGCATTCACTAAGAAAAATCTCATTTGGAAGGACAGCATGTGAAGCATGATGGAGGTGTGGTGGGAATGCATCTGCCCCAGTATCTCCAAGAGGCTGCAGGCTTTAGATCTACGGGTAGTTGTTTGATAGAGAGTGAGATCAAGATGCTGAAATCATCAGTGGGTAGTACTGTGCCTCATGCCTCCAGGTTTGGTGGGAGGTGTTGAATCCCATCTCCTTTCTATGCCCGTGTGGAGTTTGTTCTCTCACATGGCGTGAGTTTCCCCCAGGTGCTCCGATTTCTTCCCGTTGTCCAAAGGAATGCAGCCCGGCCGTCACTGCCAATGTGTGACGCTGTGTGAACGTCTGCCTGCCATGCTAACAAAGCGCATTGTTAGCGTCTGCATGCGTCGCAGGTGTGCGGGGGCTGCTGTACGGGGGCAGCATGCCGCTGTCTGTCTGGGCGTCTGCGTTTGTCCACATTTGTAGGTAAACCCCCCAGAGCTGGATCCTGGAACTGGCGTGCAGCGTCTTCATTTCAGGGACATCGCAGTCGCTGTAGAAACTTGTCTGCTGAAGAGAGATGTGTGAAGCTTGACAGACGCCCAATTGTCCTCTGCCTCCCGCTGACGTCTCGCAGCTGGCTGTCTGCAGACTTCCTGTCATCTGGATTGGGGGGGGGGGGGAGGGGGGATTCTGTCAGTGCTGCAGCATCCAGGCCCCTGCTAGCCCAGTGGACAGGACAGCAGGCTGGAAGGACAGGTGTGTTTCACTCAATAAGGCCATCAGTATTCAAAGAACAAGACAGGAAGGCAGAGACTGGCCTGTCAATCTACAGGTCAAGGCAGCCACACTACCGTAGGATTACGGCTAAAGAGTAGAACAACCGTACCTCTCCTGGCTGTTGTGGGGAGAGTTTATTGACTCAGATTGATTATCAGGTTTCCTAATAAGATGCGTAATAGTTTGGTTACTTAGTCACTTGACAAAAATTCTGAGCTTGTCAGCTGAGTCTGAGCGAGAGTTCAGTGAAATGCTCATAGTCGATAGCATATGTTCTCTTTGGATCCTTAGTGCTTCGGTCATTTAGGGACGTCGAGCTGTTGGGGTCTCACGTCAGCTTTGTGTAGTTGTGTGTGGCATTTCCCGCCTGCTTTGGTGCTGTGTGGAACAGGCCTGTACAGATAGCTGGGCTGCACTGCAGGAGTGCAGGGATCTGTCAAAAGTGGATTAGGATCCTGTTTCTTATTTTTATAATGCATTTCTCAGTGTTGAAGGAATGTTTTGCTGCTTAAGGACTGTTCAGGGTAAAGGGGCGGCTTGGCCTTCATGTGACATGATGCTTTTAGGGGCCTTTACCTACTTGCATCCTCCGTGAACTTGGTCCTGGCTGCTGTACTTTAACCCTCTCTGATGCCTTTGCTATGTTATGCAACTTGATAGAACAAGTGTCCTCTTACATATTTTCACCTGCGGTGTCGATTTTAAGAAAAAACTGACACTTAAATTAAGCCCACATTTAGTTTGAATTGCCCTTTTAGATTCATCCTTTCAGTCAGGAAGACACTGCTGCAGTATGAAAGATGGCAGCAGATCAAAGTCAGCCTCAGTATTCTCGCATCCTTCTGTGCCTCCATGTCTGTGACTGATCACCTCTGGGCAGCGGTGATTAAGGTAGAAAGCAGCCTAGTCAGCAAGTTCCAGTGATATCAGAGACAGAAGACGCTGTGTGTGGATCAGTGGGTTAAGCCTCTGTGCCTCTGAGTGTAAGGTTGCCATTTTAGAGCTTCAGCAGGCTCTGTTGGGCCCTTGAGCGAGGCCCCTAACCTCCCCCAAAATGCTCCAGGGGCACCAGAAAAATGGCCTCACCCTGTGCTTGGATCACAGGTTTCGCTCTCAACTGTATATGTATGTTTCAAATGAAAGCAAGATGGGACATGTGAGAAGAAGCTGATAGGTGTGTGCAAATGACAAGTAAAGGATCATTTCATAAGAAAGAGGGGAATCATTTCAGTTACGTCCTCACTTTAAGTAATGCAGTACTATCGGTCTGTCTTCTAGTTGGTTACCTTGGTTATTGTAATGGTGGCCTGGAGCCTATTCTAGGCAGCATAGGGCTGGAGTACAACCTGGATGGGATGCCAGTCCTTCACAGGGCACTCAGACTTTATGGGAAATTTAGAGATGCCTGCTACCCTTACTGCATATCTTTGGACTTTCTGGGGAGAACCCATGATGTCTGTGAACTACTACTGAAGTAAAATAATTAGTTTGTTATTTCAGAACCAGACAGCACATCGCTAAACTAGTGAAGATCCCTGGATGGGATTCCAGTGCATTCTGGGGGAAAACACACACACACACACACACACACACAGCAATTTAGGGACTCCAAAGCAGCTAGCCCACCTGTCAGGGATAATCGAGGAAACCCAAGAGAAAAAATCACAATAAGAAGTTCAGACTGGACACCCAGAAGCGGGGCAGCACAGTAAAGTCAAACCCGGAGGTGTGGGATGCATCTGGGCACAGGCCGCAGCAAGACCGTTGTGCGTCTGCTGGAGAGCAGCCATCTATTGTGGTTGATCCTGGTGTATGCTGGGTAAAATGGCAGTTGCTCCAAGCTCACGCATCTGTTTGCGGGTTGGCTCTGCCATCACCTGTCTTGGGTCTGTAAATCGCTTGTGACGCAAAAGGAGACGAAGTGGCAAGATAAGGAGTGAAAACAGAGGGAGGATTCCTGACAGATGTAACTCTTTCTGCTCTTGCCTTTCTCCACAGCCTGGAGACCTGTTTACACCTCGTCACTCTCACCTTCAAATGTGATTGGTCTGAGAGACATTCGACACTTTAAAATCATAACAGAATTCACTTCCTCTGCAGCATAATAGTGCTGTATAGAGTGGGGTTTAAATGTGAATCCACGGGTATTAACTGCTTTAGCGCTCCATTATGGCCTACGGTCGGCTAGCTAAAGGTCTAATGTTTCCCTGGATGAAAGCGGTGAGGTAATCATGCAGCCCTGCCCTCACCCCTTTCGGGGTTCACATTTGAGTTTTAGGAGCTACTTAGGATGGAAATGAGCGGTAATTAAATGATCTCTGGGCCCTGGTGATCTCCCACCGGGAAATTTTCCAGGACAGATTCTGTTTTTTGGCTCGGTGAGAGTTTGTGGGAAAAATGAAAGGTAAAAGTCTGAGTCGGCTCCAGGCCAACTTGGATGATGATAAAAAAAAATTGGATGCAGTAATTGCTTGGCAGCTGACAGATTTAAGTCAGGTAGGTGTAACATTGGCTAATAGGACGCTGTTTTACGGGGGACGCAGGGGGGGGGGGAGCTTGAACAGAATATCACCTGTCCCCTGCCAATCTCAGGTACGTGGGGTCATCCCGGGGTAGGTGGGTGCCCAACAGAATCAGGAATGCAGGAAATGAAAGGTTCTGATGGTAATATGTGGACGCACAAGACCCATCTGTTCCCCATGGGTCTGGATCAGGGACTTAAGTGGGGGCCTCTCACCGATCCGGGCCGGGCCTTTCCTGAGCCAGTCCGAACACGGGGCTGCTGCTCACTGGGAACGGCAGCAGGATGAGCGTC